TTTGTAATTTGAACTTGGGAGAAGTGAAGACAATCATGGACTGGTTTCTTTATGAATGATTAGGGATGGAAACACTGATGGCCTGAAAGTACTTTAAGAACCCTTTTCTCAAATGATACAAGGAAATTAGTTCTAGAAGAATCCTTCCTACATACAAAAATGGGATTTCTAACCAAGTTATTCTGTAACTCAGTTTGGGCTTATTGATCCTTCACATTCTGGTGGCTAGAAATCATCATCATCATCATCATCATCATCATCATCATCATCATCATCATCAATCTTCTGTTATTTTAGTTATATCTCAAATTATCAGTAGCACAGAGTTCCCTAATACTTTTCTTTCATTTAGATTGGCAATGGTCAACATATATGTTGGGAAAAGGTTCGGGCACTGTGCCTGAATGAGCATTACTGAGACTTGTGGAAGAAAGAAATTCTGGGAGGAGTAATCAGCTGATAAGCTGATAAGGAGATGGTGCAGAAACTATTCCAGTGTTTCAGCTTGCACATAAGTTTACTTAATGGTGGGCAGTCAGTGTGCTTTATTCAAAAACCTTTTGTTAAAATATGGCTTATTGTGCTGTGTGAATCTAATTACTGAGACTAAGAGCAAGTTAACATTTTACATATTTATGTGGTATTGAAGATCAATGCATATTTCTTTTTCCCATTAACATATGAATTTAAACTGTAAATTTATGTTAGATCAAAGCTGATATTTTTAGTGCAGCTCTGACATTGTCATAATACATACTGTAGATTACTCTGTGTTCGACCATTTTTAAATTCAGGCTGAACTTATTTGCCTAATGTAAGCCACAATATTTAAAATAATGTTCATATATTTCCATTAAATCCCTAATAATTTTAAACCACATTTTACATAATTATTCATTAGTTATCATAAAAAGGTATAAAGACACTAAAAACTGCTCTGACCAATGAATGAATACCTTATATCTTCTCAGATTATAGTAGGCATTGCCAGTATGGTTTCACATATGTATCTGCAGTCATATTTATCTGTTTTGCCTAACAACAACCAATCTCTAAAATGACAGGACAATAACTATGGGTATAGCAGGGAAGAGAACAGAACCAAAATAATGAAGTTTAAAAGTCAGTGTTAAACGATGGGAGATCCTGGGCAAGGATGACGTAAAACATAAATGCACATTCATTATTGCTTTATTTAGAACTGAGAGGTGCAGTTATGCAGCATGATATGAGCTACATTTCAAAAAGTAGGCCTTGTGAGGGTAAACATTAAATTAGATTTTATTTAAATTGTATTACACATAATGAATATGATTTATCTGTCAATATTTATTTTCTCTTTCAGGCACATTAAAATTACAATTGAGTCACAACTTTTGGAGAGGCTCTGGAGAGCACACCTCAGGTTGTGCCCCTATAGTATAAAATGCCTTGGTTATGTTGATTATGTGCCATCAAGTTGGTGTTGACTTTTAGCAACCACACAGATTTTCTCTGTGATGCTCTGGCCCTAACCTGTACTTTCAGACCTTCCAGTGGTGCATCCATTGCCACTGTGACTGAATCCATCTACCTGGCAACTGGTTGTCATCTTCTCTTTCCTTCCACCTTTCCCAGCATTACAGCCTTCTTTAGTGAGCTAGGTCTTTGCCTAATATGTCCAAAGTAGGATAATTTGAACCTGGTCATTTGTGTTTTGAGTGAGAACTCTGGGTTTACTTGTTCAATGACCCATTTGTTTGTTTTCTTGGCTGTCCACAGTATTCTTAGGAGTCTTCTCCAATACCAAAGTTCAAAAGCATCAATATTCTTCCTATCTTACTTCTTCAAAGTCCAACTTTTGCTTCCATAGAGTGTCACAGTGAATACCATTTCTAGCAGTATTCTGCTCTTTGTAAATATAGATAAATCACAACATCTGAATATCTTTTCCAGGGACTTCATGGCTGCATTACCATGTGCTAGTCTGTGGGGTATTTCCTGACTGTTTGTTTCTTTACTGTTGATGGTTGATCCTAAAGGCAGAAGCTATCCACCATTTCAATGTCTTCCTTGCCAGTTCTAAGGCTGGTTGTTGTACCTGTTGTTATTACTTTGGTGCTCTTTATATTAAATTTTAGTCCCATTTTTTTCACCATGGTCCTTGACTTTTATTGGTAGACTTTTCAGATCCTTTGCATTTTCAGCTATCAGGACAGAGCCATCAGCATAGCACAGATTATTGATGTCTCTTCATCCAATTTTAAAACCATGCTCATCTTCCAATCCAGCTTCTCTTAATATATATTCAGCATATAGGTAGAATAAATAAGGGAGAATATCAGCCTTATCTCATTCCTTTGTCAACCTGGAGCCAGTCATTTTAACTGCAGCCATGCATATTCCAGCTAATATTTTTAGTTTTCTTGGTGATTATGAGGGAAAGTAGCTTTATTGTGGTTGAATATTCAGACACATGCTTTTGTCCCTATAAGGAAGAACATTATGTTACCTGGGGATATAGTCACACTGTGGCTTCCGTGTTATAAAATATATCAGTCCTGCTTGAAATAGTTACTATAAAGCATAGTTCTTCAATTTAGTGCTTTGGGAATATGCATGAATGTCAACTGTCATATTTCCCATACTTTCTGAGAGCTGCAATTTCAACAAATGTAAACAAGTGTAAAATGAAGCATTTTAGCTTGAAAAATCCAACCTTCACCTTTACAGTAATGAGATTTTTTCTGGGAATAACTAAGCAGGACATTGGTCTTGGCTTCTCAGTGGAAAACTCAATTAGAATGTTAATCCAGTGTGCAGCTGCCATAAAAATGGAAAAGTCCATGTTTGGAATCTTACAGAATTGAAAATAGGCCTGCCAATATCATAGTGCCATTATATAAACCTATGGTGAGTCAACATTTGGAGTATTGTGTTCAATTCTAATCACTGCATCTTAAAAAGGAAACTATAAATTTAGAAAATATGCACACATAAAAAAAGGTCAGTGATGGAACAACTCTCCTTAAAGGAAAGACTACAGAAATCAAGGCTGTTTAGGTTGGGATGGAGAGTAAGGGGAGGCATGAGAAAGGTATGTAAAATCATGTGTGGTGTTTGTTATGTGGATCAAAATAGGTTCTCAGTGTTAGAACATAGAGAACATAGAGAAGTTCAGAACAGGCAGGCAGTTAATGTAGGATAGGCTGTCAATAGCTACTAATATCAATGGTTGTTTCTAGTGGTGTATATGAACCAGAAGATACATTTTAAGTCCAGAACAAACAGTTGTATTTTGGAAGTTCTGCTGAGCAATTTTCGTTTGGCTGTGGACTGGGGGAAAAATCTGTAATACTCTGAATGTTTGGAATTTTGGCTAAAACAACATTTTGGGGGTGCTCAGAATGATTTACAGGGTGAGTAGTGCCAGGCTGGTATAAATCAAACCAGATTCAAACTTCTTAGAGTGTAAGTGTAGAAATTAAGAGTATATCCTCAGATTATTCAACCATTAAGTGAAACTATTTTTGTCGTTGTGCTATTTCTCCAAGAGTGTTTGTATTTATGTCTTAATTCTTGTACCTAAAGAGGAAGTGGCCATATACAGTGGGGCAAAAAAGTATTTAGCCAATTGTGCAAGTTCTCCCACTTAAAAAGATGAGAGAGGCCTGTAATTTTCATCATAGGTATAGGTTGTGGACAGGTGTCTTTTATACTGATAACAAGGTCAAACAGGTGCCATTACTACAGGTAACAAGTGGAGGACAGAGGAGCCTCTTAAAGAAGTAGTTACAGGTCTGTGAGAGCCAGACATCTTGCTTGTTTGTAGGTGACCAAATACTTATTTTCCACCATGATTTGCAAATAAATTCTTTAAAAATCAGACAATGTGATTTTCTGGATTCTTTTCCACATTTTGTCTCTCATAGTTGAGGTATACCTATGATGAAAATTACAGGCCTCTCTCATCTTTTTAAGTGGGAGAACTTGCACAATTGGTGGCTGACTAAATACTTTTTTGCCCCACTGTATATGTGTACAGACTTGATATTACGTCCACAGAACTTTTCAATCAACTGCTATGTTATAGGCAAATTATTGTGGTTGAAATTATTAAACTAAATACTTTTTTGCCCCACTGTATATGTGTACAGACTTGATATTACGTCCACAGAACTTTTCAATCAACTGCTATGTTATAGGCAAATTATTGTGGTTGAAATTATTAAACTAAATACTTTTTTGCCCCACTGTATATGTGTACAGACTTGATATTACGTCCACAGAACTTTTCAATCAACTGCTATGTTATAGGCAAATTATTGTGGTTGAAATTATTAAACTAAATACTTTTTTGCCCCACTGTATATGTGTACAGACTTGATATTACGTCCACAGAACTTTTCAATCAACTGCTATGTTATAGGCAAATTATTGTGGTTGAAATTATTAATATACCTATGATGAAAATTACAGGCCTCTCTCATCTTTTTAAGTGGGAGAACTTGCACAATTGGTGGCTGACTAAATACTTTTTTGCCCCACTGTATATGTGTACAGACTTGATATTACGTCCACAGAACTTTTCAATCAACTGCTATGTTATAGGCAAATTATTGTGGTTGAAATTATTAAATAAGAAGTGATGATCTTTTATAGGGAGATGGAATAAAGAATTGAAGCCACAGCCCCATATATGCATTTAGCTATTGTTTTAGTTCAATACATACTGGAGGGAAGTGGATGGAGCAAAATTTCATTAAGTTGGTAGTTTGTTCTTAGCTGAAGGAATGAAAGAATGAAGGATGAGTTCCAATCAGAGACTGAAATTCTGGTTCAGGACATGTCCTCAGAGAGATAGAGGGACATGTTACAATTTATGTGAAATTTACAAAATGTGTTACTTAACCTGATAACATGAAGCTTTATAAAATGTGAGGATGTAATTACTGAAGGTAATATTCAAATTTGCTCATACAGTTTAATCCATTCTGGTAATTACTGTGCTTTGCTTGTAGGTTGTTTATAAAAACAATGATGTAAGGCTGGAATTGTCTCGACTGGCCAAACAAGGAGACCCCAAGATGAAGATCCATGGTGTCGTGGCATTTAAGTGTGAAAATGTGGCAACCTTGGATCCAATCACTTTTGAAACACCAGAATCCTTTATTTCTTTGCCAAAATGGAATGCCAAAAAAACAGGCTCAATATCCTTTGACTTTCGTACTACTGAACCCAATGGGCTGATTCTCTTCAGCCATGGCAAACCACGACATCAGAAAGATGCCAAACATCCACAAATGGTTAAAGTTGACTTCTTTGCCATTGAGATGCTTGATGGACACCTCTACCTGCTTTTGGACATGGGATCTGGAACAATTAAAATAAAAGCTTTACAGAAGAAAGTGAATGATGGAGAGTGGTACCATGTTGACTTTCAAAGAGATGGACGATCTGGTAAGTTTTGACAAAAATGCTCATGAACTAATTCTTCTATAGTATAAGAAAAATGCAAGAGAAAAAGTGGTGTATTTATTAGTACTGTAGTACAGTAAAACAACTTATATTTTGAAATATTCAATTACTATTTTTAATTAATTATCTTCCTGAAAAAGTTGCAGAGTTTGAAAAGTATTCATCAGATAATCAAATGCTTCTTATTTTGTAAGTATTTTCAATATTTAGGAAGTGAAATTCACATATACCACCCCAACACAAAATAGTTACGCAGAGTAATGTAACATTTTAAATACAAAATAACATAATAAGAGACTTGTGAACCATTGATATCTTTTTCATCACAAATGAAATGATTTCACTTTTGTTTGGGTACAGAACTGATGCATTAGTAGTTGTACATTGTTCATTTTTTTTCCACAAATTTTTATTTTGTTGAGAAGGAAATTATGAATGAACAACTGGCGCTAAATGAATAATAATCCATTAAGGAGATACTTTATCATACCATTATAAAGCATCATTGTTGTGATTGTATATGTGATAAAATACAGTCACATCATGATTGCTCTTTGTTGTACTTTAAGTTCTTCATATATTTTGTGGATTAATCCCTGCCAAGGGGATAAAAATAAAATCAGAGATGCATCAGATTTTCGTAGGATTTGTTTTTCACATCAAAGTATTACATTTTGAGTTGTGCACAATTTGTTTTGCAGGATTCGTCTACAAAAATCTAACAAATAAAAATGAAATAGCACATAAACTTTACACCTAACCTTTCCCCATTTCTTGGCACAGTAGTTTCCAAGAGAGTAAAATATCTTTTAAGCTGCTAGTTCCAAATGCAGTTTTATTTTTTTTTTCAAATAACTTTATTAGATTTTAAAATAAGAACAATAAAAACTAACAAAAGCTAATATTAAAGATAAAGAATGAAAAAAGAATGAATAAATGAAAAAGAAGAGAAAGAACAAAGTCAAAAGTGCAGAAAAAAAGGAAGGAAAGAAAGAAAAAATACAAAAAAGAATGACTTCCGACTTTCCTCACAGATACAAGTAACAATTTACACTAAATTCTTACTCTAAGTTTACAACATAACTTTTCATTTTTTCTACTGTCCAGTATTGATTCTAATCATTAAATCCATATAACATAATTTCATTCATAAAAATGCAATTTTAAAAGATCACTGTATCATCTATCTGCATGTCTCAAACTGGCAGAACCAAAAGGTCAGGAGTTAGCTAAAAGTCCTCCTACGCATACATTTAGCTTACCTTTTCTGTATTTGTCTAGAAAAAACACAAGTTTTATGCCCGTTTACTCGGAATTTAATTGTAGTGTGCATGGGATTGCAGTCTCAGGCAATAATTTCCAGGAAAATCATTTCTATGAAATATGAAAAAGATGTTTGGTATTTAAAGAAACCAGGATGAAGTGAAAGAGACTATGGATGAGATAAAATTGCAGTGAAGAGAATGTTTTAAAAATGTAATCAAAGAGAGCAAGGAATAATTAAGATTAAGAGGGAGAAAAACAAGAGAGTGATTTTGAAAGAAATAAAAACGTTTCAGACGTTGGTGAGGACAGCTAAACAAGGACTGTCCAGAGAGTGAACAGAATTAAAAATAAGAGAAATTAAATGATCGGGATGAAACTGCAGTGAGGGAATGCTGAAGGAGTCTTTAAACATGAGGGGGGGAATGGTAGTGATATGTTGAAAGTTAAAATTTGTTAGATTAACACTGTTTTAGATTGTCAGTGTAAAGACAAGACCTATGTTACACTTGGGTTTATGGGTGTCTGTGGTTTAATATAACTTCAGGAAGTTTTAGACACTTTACAAATAAATAGCAACAGTCAAAAAAGAATTTTCGGTATCAGCAGATTTAAGGAACTACACACTGTTGCTGATTTCACTATGCAAAATCTCAGGAGCATAGTGTGATTGTTTTCTGCTAACATGAAATGCTGGAACAAAAAGCAAAAGTCATTGCCTTGCTCAGGTTCTCAACAAATCAACAAAAACTACACACAAAAGGAAAGAAAAGAGCCCAGAAATTTGGCACAGTGTGGAATGGCTGGTCTGGTGATAAGGCAAAACTGATAAAACATTTGCCAATTTCATCCCTCTTCCTCTCGTCTGGGCTACTGAAGGGGACCTGCAAATCCTTCAAGTTAGCATTTCCCTAGCAGGACCTTAAGTGGTTTCAATTACACGGCAAGTGCGATAAACAGAAGTCAGCTCCGCATCATAGGAACACAGAGCTCCAGAATAGTTATCCATTTGAATCCTCATGTGGAAGTGAAACAAAACTTTCATTGGACCGGATATAAAACATCTGATTTAACTTAATTGGTCCACAGAAGGACACAAAATTCCACAAACCTTTAGAGAGTTACAAGATTGTGCGTATGGGTCTCTCTGTAATTTTTTTTTTTTTTAATAGTAGACAGCCTTATTATTAGGATCGTAGATGTCAATACATGTTATTTTCCAAAGTGCACCTTGTTATTCAAAAGTAATATAAAAAGGGCTTTCTCACTGTTAGAGAGTAAAAGCCCTATTGATGAGATTTTAAGCCTGTCCCTTTAATATGTGGAACCATATTGTGTGCTTCCTGCATTAACACACCAACAACGTTTTGTGTCTTATTTTTAAGAATGTCTTCAGCTTGCCTCACCGTTGACTGGCTTTCCAACCAAAGTGTATTATAAGTGTTTATTGTATTTTAATCAGTATTTTAACCAGTATTTATTTTTGTTTTACTGTAAACCACCCAGAGTCACTCACTGAGTGAGCTGGGTGGTGACTAAATTTGAAATATAAGTAAATAAGAAATACATACAACTGTTAGAAACCACTTTCATTTTCAGCTCACTGGAGTTATTTTGCCTGAATCTGAAACTACACGTAATTGGAAATAGTTTCTCTGAACAAGTTAGGATTAAACCAGATTTGGTTAAAAGAACCATGATTTGTCTATTTCAGATGAAACAACAAATTGCAGTTAGTTACGAGCCAAAGCATGCTGCAGAATATGGCAGTGTAGAGACATATGGCTGAAGTTCATGAATGTAACAATAAGCTTAACTTTGGGCACTGAAAAAGCAAACATGGATACCACTTTAGATGTGAACCTCCCTTTAAAATATCTACTACAGTTGTCCAAGTTCCATGTTTGTGTCAAACAAATTGGAGGCTTTTGTGAATGGAGCTAAATTACAGTTGATGAAACAAAGTTTAGAAATACATCTGAGCATCAACACCCTCATTTCAACGTTGTACGCTGCTTGGTGACTGGCTGATTATTCTACCATCATAGTGAAGGAGAGGAAACTCAACAGGCAGAATAAGCAATTCCTCCCCTTCCTGCTTCTGCTGCAGCGCCACAGTAGGTGGTGGAAATGCTAATGGCTGTCAGATGAGCAATGGAAGAGGGGAGAATCTGACACAAGTGGCATCTTAACAGAGCTGATGCTGCCCCTATTGCCTTTCATTCCCTCTGCTACGGCCTGATGTAATGGTTGCTGCCAGGTCTCAGTTTTAGTAAACAGACTTGTTAAAATGAAATTGCTGAGATAATGAATATAATTGAAGAGGCTCATTAACTCATACCTATGGGAAATGTTTGTCTGTTGCTGCACTGCCAACCTTGCAACTAAAGCAGAGGGGAGGAAGTGAAGGTGGGATGATGGAAATCCCACAAAAGCACTCAGCAACACTTTGCTCTCGGTGGCTTTTGCAACATGTCAGGATTGTATTAATAATTGTGCTATGAGGATACTTGAACACTTCAGTGTTTTGTTAAACTCTTCAGCATGTTAAAAAAAAAAAACACCCTTCACAAGGGTTTCCTTAACCAAGCTGCTATTCATCCTTCTGGAAAATCATGATCGTGCTTTAGAATCATAGAAGAAATTTAATATGGCCAAATTCTACTTGTGTGTGCCGGTGTAAACCAGATTATATAAACAGTTTTTTCACTGCTAAGCTTACATTTAACAGCTAAGATGTCATTGAATTTTTAAATTAAAATCAGAATTCCAGTTTAAGTACTAGAAATTATAGGGTGGAAAAAGGCACATGGCTTTTTTTCAGAGTATATAATTAGAGGTTTAGAATAATCACCGTCTCACTCACAGTAGCATTTTCTAGATATCCATTTCATTGTTGAAAGTGTTTCTCTCCTTTTCTCTGTCCCCATATGCCATATAGGAGTTGGTGTGTGTGTGCGTGTGTGTATTTGCAGTCTAAAATAACTGAAAACATTGCCCTTACTTTCTAGAGGTAAACAACTATATGGTACTTTCCAACTGATTCAAGTACTTTTCAAGTTAGTATACTCTTCCTGATTCATAGAACCCCAAGAATTGGGAGATAGATGCCCTAACTAGATTAACAGTTAAACAGTTAAAACCCAGGTCATGACCACATCATCATGATGACAGAACAAATAAAACACCATGTTCTCACTCCTTGGGAGTCAGTCCTCTCCTTGGTTTGAAGTCCGGTACATCTTACAAGTATTTAGCCAGAGTAAGCATGTTGCTGTAATTTAGACTTTCAAGGTTTTGTTAGTTCAATTTCCAGAGATTCTGGAAATAGATGAGAAGCAGATGCAAAGCTGCCCACATTTTAAAATCAGAAATAGGAACACCTACCATGACATCCAAAAAATGTTGTCCTCTCTCCCTCTCCATGCATATATTTCGTCTTTCAAGGGATTGACTTCATTTAGGGCCAGTTGAACATGACAGCATTTATTTAGGTTTATTTCATTATGTTTTTACCAGAATCCTTTTCAGCCCAATGCTGAAAAGAAACACATTCCAAATTTAATGGGGACAAAATTAAAGTGGAAAGGCCCAACTCCAAAAAGAGACTTCCAAAATAAGCTAGGATCTTGGTTGCATTTACCCTTACCCTGTATACCTAGTCAGAAGTGAGAAAGAGAATCACCTGAAAAATCTACTCCTGGGTATGCCTACTCAGA